TAAGCACTCATTACTGAGTGAATTAAAATGTTGAAGACGGAGTAATACCTGGCCTGATTCTTAGTAGTCAGTTAGACAGATCTCATTACCAGGTACTCACGTAGAGTCAAACCGGCTGCATTTGTAGACATATGTAAACTGCCCGTAGGTCTGCTTACTATTCAAAATCGAACATGAATAGTGAGGGAATGGCTAATTAGGGTACGCCTTAAATCATAAAGGAGCGGAGTCTTGCACCCAGCAGTAATTTGCTGCCCAGTGCATTATGCCGTTTATAGTTCTCGGATGAAAGCTCTTCTAATGTTTCAACGGTCCGTTATGACTTCCAGCATGCAGAAGAAGAGGCTGTATGATTTGATAATCCTTCTGAGTTACAATAGGGGGAATATGGTGCTCTGGAACTAAGGTTTATTTAACTTTGCACATAACCAGAGATTTTGCATGTGCGAAGAGTTTTCTATTTGCGATTGGGTTTACCAATCGAATATGAAGACTTTCGCTTTACACGTTTGAGTGGTTGAATTTTCGGAGTGGCAACTAATTGTTGATAGATATTGTTATTCGATTGTGTTTTAACGGTGCCATCTTTGGAGTATACGAGTGGATTGCAGGGTTAATAGATTGTTTGTATTTCTGCATGCTGGCCACAAATCGTTTTGTGCTGGCCTATGATCGGAAGTGGCTAACCGTTTGAGTATGGCTTTTGATTGGGTGGTGATCGAGGTCGATAACATATATTGTAGGCCTTAGAGCGGTGGTCTTTTGCGGATGGCCATCGGTTGCATTTTTGTGTCGATCCAAAGTGATTGTTTTTTTTTTTTTGTATTATCCTTTTTTTCTTTTCTTTGTGTGAGATAACAAGCGGTTGTGAGTTTGTACTGTTTGCGCCATTAAATGCACTTCAAACACGATGTGCTGTCAACCGTGATATAGAAGAAAGCAAGGTAGTTTTGGCACTATGTATTTTTATTTCAAATGAGTTTTAGTTGGATTTGAGCGAAGAGTTTTTAAACCTGTCTTTTATCATCTGAAGTGATTTTTAGAAAATGTATTTTTTACAACTAATTTTATTAGAAAAAATCTGAATTTTTTAGGTATTTTTCAAATAGGACCAGCTCTGGTAAATCTTAGTAGTTTTCCGAAATATTTCTGCAGAAGTCTTAAAATATAATAAATTCTCTATTTCCAAAGGAAAAACAGTACCGATTTTTGTTTGTATGCAGAGTGGTGCACCCTAATATTCATGAATTCGGTTTGTAAAAAATTTTGTTGAGAGTTGGCCTTCCACTTAAAACAGCGTTACGATATTTTGGTGCAACTTTGTAGTCGGCGCGAGTTTTGATGTTTTATTTGAGGCAAAACTTTTATTTTGGAAGTAAGTAAGAAATAAGGGTCAGTTTAAAAAAAAAAAAAACCATAACTGAATAAAACTTTTTTTTTTTGTTTTTTTGAATCATCAAATAATTCGCCAGAACCCCAATGACGGCATCTAAAAAATATCCGAACAAGGGTTGCCGGTGGCCATCAAATCATAAAAAAAAAGTAGATAGGTATGTACCTAGATAGGTATGTACCTGGATGTACATATATATATTCCTATAAATATATGTACATACTTATGTATGCATGTATCCATGCAAATATGTACATATGTATGTATACCACAGTATTTCCAGCGATGCCTAAAAATAACTTTCAAGTTTTTGCTTGCCTTTACATTCTCAACTTCAATTTAGTGGGAGATAAAAATTCTACGTGCGATAAATTAAAAAAAAATAATAATAATTTTTTTGACGCGTCACAATTTAACCAAGTTCAAAGCGAAAATAAACAGATGTGTTCGCGCATTTTATATTAACAACATTTTATATTCTCACAAAGCTTTCAGGCTTGCATAGAACTACCTGGCCAATCGGAATTTGTTTACATATGAATTCATCGAAGCTTAAGGTTCATTTATACATACATGTATGTATGTATGTACATATGTATGTACGTACCCAAAATCAACCTAAGCTTCCTTATTCGTCTGGTATACCCTTCCGATAGCGCAATGATTTATGCCTTCTTCTTTTAAGTTTCTGCCTTGTTTTACGTTAAGGTATTTATTTTTGTTTTTGTCATTAGTGGGTGTGGTCCACGGCGGATGAGTAGTCGCTTGCGGCGTTTCATCTTTACTGGCATACGATTTTTTGATTTATCGACAGTACTTAATCTAAGGTGGTTGGACTTTTGATTGATTGTTGGGAAATCGTAAAAAGAAGAATGCCTAGCGTCCGTTTTTATAGATTAAATCGTGTGTGCACTTTATGTGGTGAGGCCCATTTAAATGGCAAATTAAAAGTCTATTGCGCAATTGATATGAAGTTTATGTACACACAAACTTATTTACTTACTATGTTCGTACATTAGATACTTACGTTAACAGAAACTATTGTACTTGTTGAAAATTCTGAAAAAAAAAACATTTCAGAATTGATTGTCATTCATTAAACACGTGTGATAAGAACAATTCGTCAGTGCATGAAATAAATTGTTAGTCAATTGTGGATAATTTAAAGGTCACTTATGCCGTTAAATGATAAACTAGCAAAGTTAATGAAAATATAAATAAATGAAGGTACTAATTGAAAAAATTTCGATAAGGTGTTAATTAAAACCAGTAGGTAGATATTGTTGTTTACACCCACTAGAACTTGAAGGGAGATCTCCCAATGTGAGGAGCAAAAGAGTACTCCTTTTTGCCTGATTTCGGAGCAATAGGGGAGATTTGTTGGTTCTAACCTCCTTTTAGGAGTCAAATCGAAGACCTCCTAAGTGAGCAAGAAAAAAATTCTCCCAGAGCCATGATTTGGAGCAATAAACGATTTTTGTCGATTTTGTACTCCTTTATTACTCGTGTAGGAGCCGAAACGGGAGATCTCCCAAGTGAGCAACAAAAGAATACTTCCTGAGGTATGATTACGGAGCGATAACTGAAATTTGTCGGTTTTGTACTCCGTTATGACTCGCTTAGGAGCAAAAAGCGATGTCTCCTAAGAGAGTAATCCAGGAGTATTCCTTTTGATTGATAAGGGAGCTATAGGCACCTTGTTCAAAAGAAATTGTGTGTTATTGGAAAAATTTATCATAAGGAAAACTACAGAAAATATTTCATATAAAAACAATATAAGGAGGGTCCAATAATTAAATGTCGATAGCACACATTTAAGTGAAGTTCCGTCGGTATGTATCGCAACTGTTGTTTAAATTTATTAAATATTGTATTATATAACTCTAAATACTTTTGAGATTGGGCGAGTTAGTATCAGCACTTACGTATGACCCCCAAGTTTTAACGTTTATGTAATGCCGGTCCAGAGCTTTTACTGGGTGGCATAGATATCAGATCGGCAAAGTAACCTTCACATTGATCGTGGTTAAAACAAAAAAGTTTTAAACACTCTCCCTATTTGCGTGAACTCCTGAACACCAAAGCATATCTGACACGCAGGAAATCATGTAGTTATCTTTTCGTTTTATTATTTTCTGTTCTACTTTTATTATTATTTTGTTTTACTTTGCATTTGTCCCCACTAGAATTCCAATATTAATCAATAATATAATAAGTATTATTCGCGTTTGATCTCGTACTTATAGGCATATGGTAAGATCTTTTAATATTGTTTGCATGCATGTGATTAAGAAATTTAATAAATGGATTGCGTAAATAACAAAATATTTTAGCCAATGAGACGTATTCTGGTCTTCGTACGAATCGAAAATTTGAAATTTTTGAATACAAAATGATAGGAAAATTTCATGATTTTCGATTCGTACGAAAACAAGAATACGCCCCAATATGTGCGGCAATGAAAAATTCTTTTATTACCGTACAGGAGGCTTTCGGGATCCGTCTTATGGGAGCTCTCCCTTATTGCTCGTTCGGGAGGAATGTGGGATGTTTTTCTATGTGTACCGCCTTATTGTCTTTTTGGGAGGTATAGGGGAGGATTTTATGGGAGTACTCTCGTATTGCTTCCTTAGGAGGTTTGTGGGATGATATTTCTGTGTGTGCTCCCCGATTGCTCGTTTGGGAGGTAAAAGGAATTACTCCACCTCCAAGGACATACAATGTTAAAGGGAGTATACAAAATTACATGCTTATACACAGAAGCATAGAGAGCAATAGGGACTATTCGTATACTCCCCAGGGAGTACTCACCGAGCAATCGTACGATGCTCCCAAGTTCTACTGGGCAGCTATACCGAAATCACCTAAATACATATATGAACAATCAGATACATACATATATAGGAAGGTATGTATGTTATAGTGGTCCCATATTCCGACAAATGATTAATACATTACATTACATATATAGGATCAATGTAGAGAGCTGGAGATTGAAGTTATAAGTATCTTAAAGATAAAACGTCCGATCTTATGGAAGTATTTAAAATGTGGGCCACCTGCTGTAAGAACAACTATGGCGTGACCGATGTCCAGCGCTGCCAACTATTTTCGAGTAAAAATCCAGATTTTTATAAAAACCCGCTAGAAAAAATCTAAATTCCACAAAACAAAACCTGAAAACTAAAGAGGCTCTTCTTCTTCTTCTTTATTGGCGCTGTAACAGCCTAAGCGATTTTGGCCGGGTCCAAAACAGCACACCAGTCATTTCTCTTCTGTGCTAACTGACGCTAATTGGAAATGCCAAGTGAAGCCAAGTCCTTCTCCACCTAGTCTTTCCAACGCAGAGGAGGCCTTCCTCTTCCTCTGTTACCAGCATCGCGGCCCGCGTTGAATATTTTCAGAGCAGGAGCGTTTCTGTGCATGGGATATCTACTAGGTTTGGCCTTGAATAACTTTAAAAATAGATCAATAGAGATTGTTAATTTTTTTTAATGATTTCTTAAAAAGTATGATGCCAATTAAATTTGAATTCTATAAATAATTTGGTACCCAAATTTTGGTATTTGCTAATTTATAAAACAATTTTCCTTATTCTTTCAGATGTGATAATAAAAACAAAATCATAAAATATTTATAATCAAAAACATGAAGTGATGCTGTTGCCCATTCAATTCGGAACCAAATAACAAATCATAAAACAAGTTAGCCGACATTTAATCAACAAGTCTCACGCATGCGATCGTGTTTAGTTCCTTGCGTGTGTGTTTCCGCTGCTGCAACAACTGTTTGGATGTATGCTTGTAAATCTTTTAAAATTAATTAAAGCAAAAATTTAGAGTGTGCATGAGAAATTGAAAAAGAAAGGAATTTTTAAAAATGAAAAAAAAAACATTGAAAATAAATAATGATATTTGGTGCAAATTGAAAACTAGAATTAAGTGAATTTTTAGTGCAGAAAACAACAAGAAGCTATCGGTTTTTCTCTCAATGATTCAAAGCAAGAAAAACGCTTTTGATTTTTAACTGTTGTGCAGCATGCTGAAAGTGAATACATATGTAAACTTACATCTTCTACGCATACATACATACATACGTACATAGAGTGGTGCATGCAACTACTCATACGAGTGCATATGTACAGTTAAAACGAGGAAGACGTGAACAGGTGCGCGAGTGAGAGTGAAAAACCACCGTCCATTGCGGAACTTTGAGGTTAGTATCTGCGCTTTCGCACAAAAACAACGAAGAAATAAGATAAATACCTAAAAAAATAAACTACGCGAAGTTATCTGCACGCGAATATTTTGTATTGAATGATTGTTGGTGTACTCCACCAGCACCAGCACCAGCAGAACAACGGTGGTGAATAGCTAACAGCATCTCCATCAATACCGGGAGCATAATAATAAAGACGTAAGAAACAAAAAAGAAAAACACATACATACATACATACAAACAGCAACAACATGGATACCACATCGACCAGCACCGCCGATACGGCCAACAGCAGCGGCGATAGCAGCAGCTCAGATGCCAATTTATCGTTTAGTTTCGTACGGGTGAGTTTCACTTTTCATTATTGGCGATACAATCTATTGTATATGTATTCGAATGTTATAGAGCTATGTACATATAGGATTTAGTGTAAAGGAATTTTTCTTCGTACATAGTTGCAATTTTTTGGCATCCCAATTAAATAGCTATGTAAAGGAAGAGTATGTATGTATGTAGTAAAACTTGTTGTCAGTACTTAGGCATTACTGTACATTAATCATATTGAATGTACAAAGTCTGAAAAAAAAAAATTTTGGAGTACCCTTAGCTTGCTTACGATCCAATGATTCGAACTAGAGATGGGCGCGGGATATCGGGAACCGCGGGACCCACGGTACTGATTTTAACTTGGCCGGGATGGGCGGTATCGCGAAGGTCTGTGAATTTTTACGGGCGGGACGGGACCAAAATCCTTTCCCGACACTCCAGATAAAACCGCAACCTCAGCAAATTCGGAAAATCTTCTTTTAAAACGATGTGTGAAATATGCACTTTTTATGTTTTATTGGGGCGGAAACGAACAGCAAAGCAAAACATAATAATCGGAAGATGTCAGATCTTTAATTATTTAAAATTAATTTGAAATACATGTGCATTTGCCTTAGTCATAGATTTCGGGACCCAAGGGACCCGCAGTACAATTCTGAAAAACGTCGGGATGGACGGGTTCGGGACTTAAAAATTGAATTTCGGAATGGGCGGGATCGGGACTAAATATTTAGTCCCGTGCCCATCTCTAATTCGAACTTGAACTTTGAACCCTTGAGTTGCCGTATTTCCGTTAAAAAAGAATTATCGAAAACGGTTAACGCGTTCTAAAGTTATCCGGTAACATACTCTTACATACTACATATATAAAAAATATTCGACGAATTGATAGTATCCTCAATGTTAAAAGTCTTTTAAAAATATATACTCAAAAGTTGAAAGATGAATAGAATCAAATTAATAATGTGGTTGTTCACACTTGCCTGGTTATCAGGTTATCTATCTGGTTATGTGGTTATATTTCTTATTCAGTTTACAACAATAAAATACACTACAGAAAAATTATTTTTAACCAGATAACCTGATAAGCGTGTATGTTTACTTACATAATAGCCATTACGCAGCGTACGTTTATTTATAGTGAAAACCTTACGCAAAAAAATTTTTCGTAAACTTGTTCTCAGAACATTGTGATACTTTACATTTAACAAAAGTTATAGAGGCACATACACAAGTTTCGAATTATTTTTAATGATACGCTGCAACTATGTTTAAAATGTTTTGTTGTTGTTTTGTCGCGGTAACGGTGTAAGCGATTTTGGCCGCGTCCGGTAAAAAACGTCAGTAATTTCTTTTCTTTGCCAAGTCATGCTAATTGGAAATACCAAGTGAAGCCAAGTCTTTCTTCGCCTAGTATTTCCATTGCAGATAACCCCATCCTCCTTCTCTGCTACCACCAGCGGATATCGCACTGAATACTTTCAGGGCCAACGGAGCTACTTTTACCAACGCCCAAGGGCATGTAAGTACATCTTCCACGAAATCTTTGGCTCGAATACTCCAATGGCCGCCTCTTCGCTTCGGCTATGATTTCCTACGTTTGAGCACGGCATGAGTGACTTATGAAGTGTGATTTTTGTACGCAGAGAGGGTACCTTACTTCTCAACTGCATACTCAGTCCAAAGTAGCACTTGTTGGTGAAAGTAGTTCTCCGTTGGATTTCTTGTCTGGCATTACCCACAGCGTTCATGTTGGTTCAAAATAAATCAAAGTACTCTAAGTAGCTGCTTCAAATTGCAACTGTCAACATTTATATTAGTGCGGAGGGTAGAATGTGCTGGTTGTTTGCTTGATAACAGAATATACTTCGTCTAAGACGAATCGTCTTGTCCCGATTTTTGGAAAGACAAAACAAACGGTACGGTTGTTGTAGCCGATGAACTTGGCATAAGCCAGTAATTTCACGCTTTATAAAAAATGGTGCCTGAGCGATTCAGTTCTTTAGCTCTTATTATGTTCTCCAGCGTCGGATTAAAGGGATCTTACGCTAGATAGTCGCCCTGTCTGAAACTTCTTTAGCTACCTAGCAGCTCCAAAAGGCATCGCAGCGTATAGGAATCTCCTTAAGACGCCAAACTTTTTGATAATATTTTCAGCCGTTTTTCCTATTGGCCAACACTTCAACCTCCTCGCACTCACGCATTTCGGATTTGTTCTTCTTATAAAAGAAAACACTTAAGGAGCGGGAGATGTGGTCCAACAGCTTGAAAATATCGGTTTTTTGAAGAGTATTGCTAGCTCTGCTGCCACAAGATATTGAATCGACTCATCGTTTGGCCTTCGGACTTACATAAGCAGGCTTAGGCGGTCGGAATGTTACCAATATAAATCCTATCGGTTTTTCTATTTTGATTTATTTTTTACAATCATCAGTTCATCATAAAAACACGCCAAATTTTACTGTTCGATGTAGCCATCTTTAGCCCGGATAATAGCATCGAGTCTGGCCGGGAAGGCTTCACAGGCAGGCGAAGAGCAATCTACTGTCTCATATTTTTTAGTTGATAATTTGACCTCGAGAATGGATCATATGGAAAAATCCATTAGGTTTAAGTCCGGCGAATATGGTGGTCATTGATGCCAATAAATGAAGTTGAAACATCCAATGATTCTTTCCGATTTGTTTTCGTACCCAAGGTAACAGAGCATAGTTTAAAATATTTTCAAAGTCGACTTGTCGACATGACCAAATTTATGTAATTGACCCACAGCCTGAAGTGTCCTGTAACAGTGACAATCCTTATATACTCTTTGGGAAGATTGATTAGACGTTGGAATCTGCTTAAATTGTATCCCCCGTGTAAGCACCTAGCCTGACGTAACCCAGTTGGGCAGCGCCAGTGCTATTATTTTATTGTTTTTGTCCCCCTCCTGAGTTCTTCTCTGATTATATTTGGACCTATTTCCATGTGGGGCTTAGGCCCAACTTGGAATTGTAGCCGCCTTTTCCCTGGCTAGTCTGTTCGCTATCTCGTTACCCTCAATTCCCATGTGACCACCTGGAACCCTTGTAAAAGGATGCTTTTGTAAATTGCAAGAGAGTTAAGTCCCTCTATGCGCCTGGTTATCACTGAGGAGGACGAATCTCTCATTGCCATAGTTCCTACTCCGATTTATCTCCGCACACAGACTGTTGGCGAATGATATGCTAACCCTGGGGCCATAGATTCCAGCCTCTATGCCTTCGGGTGTTTTCGAGCCGTCTGTGTACCTGTGTAGAGTATTCATCTGTAGTCGTTTTTCCAAAATGTAGGTACTCCATGCTGCCTCTCTACACACTTCTATACTGACCCTCTTTTCAAATACTATTATTAGAGTCCTTTTAGCCGCCTGCTATATGGTTAGATGTAAGAGCTCCTGTTCAAAAATTACTTCCAGCGCTAACTTTTCTATGCTTTCTTTTATACTTTGCTTATAAATATACCGAAAGTCATTACACCTAAAAAACTTGATTTCAATGGTTCCATTTAATTTAAGATTGTTGCCAATGGCGAAAAGCTCACATTGCCATCTCGTTCGCGTGTTTATTTATTGCGAAATCCGCAAAAGTGTACGATTTGACTGTGTTCTAAATAACGTTTCCAGTTTTAACGTTTAAGAGTGATTTTTTAATTGCCTATATTAAACCTTGGGAAAATGCTTTAGTTCAACGTAAAAGTAACGCATACATATAGTACTTTCCCTTTCACTTAACTTTAGTGTGCATAAAAGTAATGAATGGTAAAGGAATATCAAAAGTATTCACTCACTAGACTTACAACTAACTTCACATTTTCTACACATTGGGTATAAATAGCAGCAGGCGGTTCAAGTTTTTGGTAAAAAATTGAGGTGCCACTCACTATTTTTCTGCCATAAACGCGTTTTGTTTTTAAAAATTCATTTCAGTTTATATCAGCGGCAGCTTGTTTGTACGCCAGCCAGTCTGTGGGGTCTTTTTATCTCTTCCGAATATAAAACCAGTCTTTGTGATTGTATACAACATTCACATTGGGAAATACGTACATACATATATACTAATAGGTTTATGTATATATACATACATTAGGGTGATTCAGAAATTTTTTTTGCTCAAAAGTTTTGTTTAGACGCCAAAATAAGTCTCTGAAAATATTAGCCCTTAATATTAATATTAAGAATGTCCGCATCGCACTTTTCTATTTCCCATAAGAATAACACAGGAAACATTTTTAATTTTTTTTTTTTTTTTTTAAATCTGGTTTTGATATTTAACGCACGATATGTAGTACTGTAAAGGCCTTGGAGTATTTTTGTAGAGAATCGAACGCTCTACAAAAAATTCTCAAGTAATTTTTCGAAAAGTCAACTCGGTCAAGATGTCAAATTTGAAAGAATGGTGAATTCGACTTTGACCTCGAATAACTTTTGATCGAGTTGACTTAATGAAAAATGGCTTCAGATCTGTATTTAGAGAGACCTTTACAGTAAATATAAAAATCAGTATTAAACAAAAAAAAAATAAAAATTTTCCTGTGTTATTCTTATGGGAATTCGAAAAGTGCGATACGGATATTCTTAATATTAATATTAAGGGCTCATATTTTCTGAGACTTATTTTGGCGTCTAAACGAAACTTTTGAGCATAGTTCCGAGGAAAAAAAAGTTTGTTTCTGAATCACCCTAATATACATATACATATCGTCGTTTAAAGTACAAAACCGCGTATCAAGAAAATGTAACGAGAGAGCAAAACTTGTCTTTTTTCAAAACGGTTCTCCCTTTTATCCCTAATTATCTCTTCTACTTATATTTATGTATCGATATATGTATCTTTTTTGACACAAATGTCAGTTAGAAGGTTATACAGAACCACGATACGCGGTTTTGTACTTTAAACGACGATATGTACTTATGTATGTTATACGTCTATTTAAAGTACGCATTTATGAGTATCTATACTATATATACTCGCAAGTTTGTATATATGTATAAAAA